CATTTGGGTATTTCTTTCTGTACCACTGATTAAGCGATTGGATGGCACTGTTATAGGTATGACCACGATGTTTTGCTTCGATATCCTCAGTATCAATCATTGGATCTAGTACTATAGCTAATTTTATCCAGTCTACACCAACACAACTAGCGATGGAGTGAAAATAGTTTCTAGGATCTATAAGGCACGAATGAACATATTACCACATACGTTATCTTAAAATTACAAATTGAAATTATCTTATCATGGACTAGCCGAACCCGCATACCCAGCTGTGTGCTATCAATATGACTCAATAATTTAAATGTGGATACATTTGTTTTAATTTAACCTAATTCATTTTACTTATTGTTGGATACTCGCAAGTAAAGTAGTGGAGTAGTAGTTTATATGTTCTAATTATAATCTGAAATATTCGCTGGCATTCTAATTAGCTAACAGAACTTTGTGCGATAATATCATACATAATAATCACTTCTGGTCACTATTATGATTAAATGGGCAAATTAATTACTATATCTATGAATAAAAAACGTAAAAAAAAGCTTAAAAGTAGCTTACTAGTAGCTAAATATTCTAATGACGATCTTAAAAATTCGTCAGTGATATCATTATCTAGTAAAACTGTATGCGATCATATCATCAGTGGCAAACGTAGCTTAAAGAATTACATCCATTGACGAGGTAAGGTATTCCTATGTTAGAATTTACACGGAGTAATTGCTCTTAATCATATTTGAATCGATCTACAATTGGATTACTAAATGCAATTGAGAATGATTGATAGATATCAATTCAATAGAGGTTTACCTTTATCTTTGGTATCTTTCCTTTGGTCTAAAGTAGTGGAATAAAAATAGCCACAATCGATTAGTAGTTGTATCGTTTAAGTAATCAATACAGTAAATTAGTGCCCATAATGTTTGATAATAATCAACTATTGTTTACGCTATTACAAAATTACCATCTGGTGATGCTGAATGCTCTTTAGTGGGTAGAACAGGCAGCTTTTCTGTATCTGTATGCTTTGATGGGTTGGGCCGCCAAACATGACAAACTTTACTTAGTAAATTAAACAGAGTCTATATACTTCACAACTTGAAGATTGATTATAGATGTTGTTCATTTACCTTGTTGGAATTTGATCTGCGCAAGTAGCAAATCTTTGCCTTGGTGTCTCGCTTCGGGTCTTTAAGCTTTAGAGAGATTTGAGCTATATTAATAGCTGCTTTTTTGATAACCTTGCAAGCGTAATCGATAGCATGATAGCTATACTCATTCCAATTGATAGTAATTATCCGATTATTTAAATCAGCATTCGGACAATCTAAACCGTCTTCCTTAAATTTAGCTTCGTAATCACCATTTTTTAGAATAGTATTTTCAAGTCCAGTCGTAACTAAACGTATCCTAATAACTTCCTGATGAAAATCTGACAAGATAGCAGTTTCATCTACATCTTTTTTAGCTAAGATTAATTTCATATGGACAGTATCATCACTTGTGTCTATTTCGGATAGGAAAGCTAACGTTTTAATTCGTTGCTGCCTAGATGGCAAGATATACTTGAAGGCTGAATAAATGAAAGATTTGACGCGGGAAATGACGGCATATTCAGAGAAATGGCTTACTGCAAAAGTAAGGCAATAATATCCATTTTTATCGCGGCTATATTCATACTCTATATCTTGCTGTTCCCACTTCTCACATCCGTAGCTTCGACAAATGATCTTTATTGGGATATTAAAGTTGTTGTTTTTCTTAAGTGAAACTATCTGGTTGATATATGGAACGGGGACTTGAAGTAAAGCTTTCCTTGTGCTATTAGGGGTAAATTGATACCCATCCGGCTCGAGGCGAACGATTGGCGATAACTGGATAAAGCGGTTACCATCAGAATCTTTCTGAATTGGTAAACCTTGATTATAAGGTGGATCTGCATAGTATACAGTCATGGTTAGGGTGGCCTCAGTTGTTATACACTGAGCTGGAAGATGAAATTTTAATCCAGGTACTTCAGGCAAGGTTAAATCATGATCTTGATTAACTTGGCAGTTATTCGATACCTTTGGATAGCCAGCTTTGGCTGTTGCGATAGTTGACGTTATATAAGAATAGAAATGAAATTGATGATTTAGAAAGTACTGTCAATGACAAGAAATGTTCTCCTATGCCTGTGTTTCTTCTAGTTAAAAGTACTCTTCGATTTTAATGCACTAATAAATAGAATAGCTCTGTCATTACATAATGGGACTACAATTTAGAGAGAAAAATTTGTGGATAGAAAGATACCGTCGAAAACTACACTCCTATCTCCAATCAAAACAAAATTAACCTGGATGCATTCCTGGAAATAAATGACATTTCGCTGGATTCTTCTTTCTTTTTCCTGATCTAAGATTATTATCTGGCTCAAAAGTAATAGAAGAACATTAATAACAACAACATGTTCAGCCATTCACTTTTCTTATATTAAAGCAGCTGTTATCCGTTGTGTTTCCACTCTTAGTCGTTAACGTAAGCACGAGAGACTTTGATACACTCCTCCTAGTAAGCTTACTAAAAGTCTCTTTTATTTAGGATTTACTGCATTTAAATAGTATAGCCGTAATGACGTATTATACCTTAACTTATGCTAACACGTTAGGTGCAGTAAAACAGGTTACTGTATTCTTACATACATAACATCCCTTCACTTAACAAAATAAATTAAGCGATATAAATTACACCATAGATATCATCATTGCAAATATTCTATGTTTATATTTATATATTTTTATATTATCTATCAATAAACATGCCTTGGATTTCTCGGTCAGCGCTATTAGATAGTTCGTCATCTTTCTTTAGATTTTGCAATGGCTCGGCAGCTTTAAGAATGACGTGAAAATAAAAAAGTTTAATCGACAGAACCTATGACTGACAATTCAATGTTTCTCCTTTTAATTTTAATGCCAAATTTTAACTGTAAATATCACTATTGTTCTTATCTCTCTTAATACTTTAAATCCAAAATGATAAAACTAAAGAAAAATTTCAGTTAGCTTTGTAAGAATTTTAACAAAATTCTTATTGCGGAATACAGTAGATGTACCGTAATAAATGCAACTTTTGAAAATACTCGTATACAGTTTTAAGCACAAGTTAGCAAATTTATAAATATCAAAGGTATAAAAATATCGACGTCTATAAAGTTTACTGTTAACTCCCATATCTAGAAAGTATGTTCACTAAAATAATAATACTGCTAACGATTCGATCCTCTAAAAAGGTAAATAAACATTGCATAACTTAGACACATACAATGATCTTCAGCTACAGAGCGCAGCCCGCTTTTAAAGAGTGCTTCAACTAATGCTCTCTTTGTGTAACTCCGACCTTTCCTACTCGCATACATACTCAACATTTGCGCACATTGATCGTCAACTGATCCATTATTTTCAGCTATAATTTTGTCGATGTCGCGTTGATCAATTCCAAATTCTCTTGCCAAAGTTTTCCGCTCCGTTCCAATATCTTTTGCGATTTTGCTGTTATACTCCTTGGCAGCTACAATAATTTTATTTTATTTGCAAAAATAGGATCAGCGGCTACTTACGGTACATCATATGAAACAGTTAATAGAAAATTGAATGTAGCAAGAATGAACGATTCTCTCTACACTAAATCAAGAATATTCCTCTTTCTAAGTTGCAATTGTTGAAAGCGCTTGCTATACAAACCAATTAAATGACTCCATCTTACAAATCAGGTAAGTCGCTGCTATTGTAGTATGCGATAGATTTTACTGTATTGTCACTTAAAATAGTAAAAAAATGTTAGCCACAGTACAACTTACAAGAATTGGGTTCGTCCATTTCTATCTCAACAGTTTTATTAGAATCGACAGAGACTTCAAATCGAATTCCGGGTGCACAACTAGCATTGAGTTTCTCAGTTTCGTCTGATTCTTGTTCTAGAGTTGAATCGACATTACAAAGATACAGTATCATCAGCCATTAAAGAAACAAAGTATAATCTCATTCGCTACTATGCATGCAAGCGCTCAACATTTTTATAAAGTATTATAACATCGTTAAACGTTAAAAGTACGTACTCTTTTGGCTTAAATGATTGTAATATAGTGTGATTTACTTAACTCAATGTTGTTATACTAACTGCAAGCTATTCTCTTTAAAAATACAGAGTGTGAGAACTTATTGAAAAATATACTTTAATTCAAAGAAGACTATTACAAAACACATTTTACTGAACAGAATTTGGCTTTTTACGCTTTGGTAGTACTTGTGTGATATCAATTCAGTGGAGGCTCACCTTTATCTTCTCTATATATCTTTTTCTCTAAAGAAATGAGGTGAAAATAGGAATAATCAATTAGTAGCCCTATCGTAATTATTTTAAAATAGATGATAGATTTGCAGCCATGCAAGTGAAATATATGACATGTTTCTCTAAAGAGTTTACGAAGATAGTTTTCTCCCTTTATCCTTTTAGGTGTTTTTATACGCAGGGAATGCTATCTATATTAATTTCTATACGCTGCATAAGACGATGAAACTAATTGGCTATTAAACAGTTCAATATTAATGACTTATCGTGTACTAACGTTAAAAAACAAAATACTATAGGAAGCAGCGATAAATAAAATCCAGCCGTTTCTATTTACTACACAAATGAAATGCAGTAGATGAAGTATTCATTTTGAAATATTGCAATCCATAATACATTTTCAGTAACAAAAATATACAAAATCAGAAAATATTATTGCAGCTAACTAATTGTTGAATATTATGCCAAGGTAGAGTAATATGCAAATTTACCTAAAAGATAGCATGCATTCTCGTCTCGTTAACTGTTTTAGCAAATCATTCTGCTTTATTATATCAATGCTTTTACTATACGGTATTCTAAGATGAGATTTAGATAATGGTTGAATAGAATAGAAACTCCAATCATAATTATTGAAAATTTAGCTTAAAGAATACTAATGCAGAAATTTTGTCAAAACACACTATTTTGACGGAAATAATGATAGCAACAACAATCAAGCCAAGAATTGCTTTCACATCCTTACCGTTCCATAGCTCTTCCTTATAAATTATCCAATCGTTCAGAGATTGACTAGAAAGTACGTTTTTACAATGTTGGCATCGAATCAAATTTTCATCTTCTTTTTTGTATTCTTTGACTATGGGTATCTGTTCACTACATTTACTACATTTGACGTAAAATCGACAATGCTCTTCCTGAAACTTCATCATCCTCA